AAGTCTTGCTGTGTGTGTGTGTGTGTGTGTGTGTGTGTGTGTGTGTGTGTGTGTGTGTGTGTAATAGGAAGTTCTGGTAGCCTAGTGGTAGAGTTAACTGCCAACCCAAATGCAGTTTTTAATTTAACAGGTACTCTGAGGGAGAAAGATGGGCAATCTATCTCCTTTTTTGCAATTTAGAGCCTCTCAAAACACAGTGGAGGTTCAGAGTTGGTTCCAACTTCACAGCACATAAAAACAAGATTATTGGTAACCTGAGCAATTTACTAGCAATATGAACTTGTATCACGAAAACCATTAGTAATGTCGGTAATGAGAACATATATGTGGACATTACTGTGAATGACTATTCTACTATTAATATTATTGATTTAAGGCTTCACTAACCTGTTTCAGTCATTTCATTTCAACAGTTATTGTGAAGTTGGAGAAGTAAATCATAGCTGATTCCTAGCAGGTTTTCAGAGGCAGTAAATCACTTAAAAGGAGATTGTCCATCCCCTCCTGATAAGCAGCTGGAGAATTCAAGTCACTTTCCTTTGTGATGAGAGCACAATTCTCTTCTCATCAGACCACCAAAGCTTAATAGCCCTACTGTAGCTGTTATATGCCTTTGCATCAGCTATGACTCATAGCAACCCTATGCACAATAGCTGTGAATCCTGCTCTATCCTGAGCCAAACTCACCGTCTTTGACAAACTACCCTCATTACCCCAGTTACCTTGACATTCTATCTCATCCTAGGTCTTCTTTTCTTAAACTGTCCCTCCACCCTTCCAAGCATGATGTCCTCCTCCAAGGACTCATCCCTCTTGGCAGTATGCCCACCGTATGTAAGCTGGAACCTCAAAATCCTTGCCTCCAAGGAGCAACTTGTTTTCACCCACTCCAGGACAGACCTATTTTCTTGGCAGTCCATGATATGTTCAAGATTCTAATCCAACAAAACAACTTTAAAGCAGTAATTCTTTTGCTGTTATCTTCAGCCATTGTGCAGTTCTCTGATGCATGGCAAGTAATGATGAAGACCATTGCCTGGATCAGGTGCATCTTAGTCTCTAGAGTGATTTCATTGCTCTTCAGCACTCTGGAGAAGTGCCTGATGACAGATTTTCCTAATGCAATTTGTTTTTTGATTTCCTGACTACTGATGCCAAGAGTGTTGTTGATTGTGAAACCTAGCAAGCTGAAATTGTTAACAATTTCAATCTCTTCTCCACTCACCACAGTGCTGTCAATTGGCCCAGTGGTGAGAACTTTCATTTTCTTTATTCTGAGCTTCAATTCATACTGCAGACTATAGTCCTTGGCCCTGTGCAACTTCAGGCCCTTCTTTAAGCAAGGTTGTATCATCTGTATAACATAAATTGTTTATGAGTCTTCTTCCAATCCTGATGCTCCATTCTTCTTCATAAAAGCCAGTCTCTGGGATAATCTCTTCTGCATATGTATTGAAAAGTTATGGAGAAGTTTATATACAAACCAATGATATTGTTGTTAAGTGCCATCGAGTTGTGGGAGACTCATAGCAACCCTATGAAAGAAAGTCCTGGACACTTGTATAACTTTTGTCCTTTCTTCAGGTTTGTAGGATTTCCAGAGGTAAGCTATTTCAGAAGTGGATGCCACTCCTGCTTCCAAGCTTGTTTTAATCGGGGAGCTCCACCAAACACTGTCCACCATGGGTAACTATTCTCACATTTGACACATCAGTGTCACAGTGTTCGGCTTCACAGCAATCACGAGTTACCTCTGTACAGCGAGTGGACATACCAGGGTTATACGACCTAGAAGAATGTTCCACCAAAAACAATTAAAGACAGATCTGAGGGCTGTGGATTAGAGTCACCCACCTTTGGCTATGCAAACCAATACAAAATTTAAAAGAAATTATGGAGATAGGATGCATCCATGACACACTCCTTTTCTTGTTCTATTCTGACAACTGACTCCTGGTCCAAATATAGGTTCCACATGAGCAGAATCAGGTGTTATGGGAGTCCCATTCTTCTCAAGGTCAGCCACAGTTTGTTGTGAGCCATAGTCAAATGTCTTTTCATAGTCAATGAAACACAGATAGATACTCCTCTGGTACTCTCTACTTTTGACCATGATTTGACTAACATTGGTGATAATGTCCCTAGTGTCACAGCCTCTTCTAAACTCAACTTGCATTTCTGATAGTTTTTTGCCTATGTTCCAGTTATTTTTGGATGATCTTCAGTAGAATTTTGTTTGCATGGGATATTAGTGATATTTGCTAATTACTACACTCTATTGGATCACTTTTTTCCTGGGATAAAAATAAATATGGATCTCTTCCAGTCAGTTGGCCTTGAGGTGGTAGTCCTCCAGATTTCTTGGCATAACATGGTAAACACATCCAGGGTTGCATCTGTTTGTTGAAATATGTCAATTGGTATCCCAGCAATTCCTGGAGCCTTGTTTTTTGCCAAGTCCTTCAGAGCAGCTTGAGCTTCTTCCTTCATCACCATTGCCTCTTGAACATAAGTTGTTTCATGAAATTCTTCTGTGTTAGCCAATTTTTTTGGTAGAGTGACTCTGTGTAATCCTCCCATCTTCTTTTAATACTTCCTGAATCATTCAATATCCTGCCCATAGCATCATTAAGTATGGCAACTTGAGGCTTGAATTTATTCTTCAGTTTCTTCACCTTAAGAAATGCCAAGGAAGTTCATTGACTTTGATTATCTGAATGCAGCTTTTTTCACATTTAATTATAATAACCTGAAAGGATCTTAACAACAACAAACAAACCCTCATTGACATCAAGTTAGAACCAATTCAGAGCTGACCCTCTGTCGGACTGTCAGAGCCTGTAAATCACAGGGGAGGACTGCTCATCTTCTTCCCAAGTGGCAGCAGGCGAATTCAAACAGCTCATCTTTGAGATGGCAATGCAGCTTTCTACCCACTACCCACTAAATAGCAGTTCAACTCTACCTAATTCCTAATTGAGTAAGTATAACTAGTCTCAGCAACATTCAACTGATTACCATTGAGTCAGAACTGACTCATGGCTGGCTCTCCATTGCGTTTCTGAGGCTGAAAATTGAACAGGAAGAGATTGCTCATTTTTCTTCTTCAGATCCCCTGGAAGATTTGAATCACCAGAGAGACTTAGCTTTTGCATTAACGGCATGACATCTACAGGCTACACTACTAGAATGATTTTACTAATAGGTAAAATTGGGACAGAGGCGTTAGGAATGTTAAGAAATCCCCGCGACTGATCACTAACTGCAGAAGCTCCCAGACCTGCTTCTTTGCAGAGCTTCAGTAAGACAATTCCACGATCCTGTCTAATCTTTTCACCCTGGTAACCATATCTTTTCACTCTCTAAAGCTTCCCACCCCACACTTACCCTTGTAGAATGTTTCCAAACAATCTCCCTCGCAGTACTTTCAGAAATATGACACTGGCCTCTTTAAGTATTTTAAGGTTGAAGGATTAAGCTGCTAAAGCCATTACCAACCAACCTTGATCCATCAGGACCATCCTTGACAAGGCATTAAAGACTTATGAAAAATTCCCAGCATCAAATAGGTGCTCATGTCATGTTAGTTCCCCTTCCTGATAACTATGTGACCTTCTGTGTTTTCCTTTCTCCATTCCAGGGAGGTGTATAAACCGCAGACTTCTTTGCAATGGAGACAATGACTGTGGAGACCTATCAGATGAGGCCAACTGCAAAAGAGTTTATAAAAAATGTCAACAGGAAATGGAGCGATACTGGGCAATTGACAACCTGGCCAATGGGTAAGTGGCTGTCTTCTTGTTGTGTAAATAAGAAGGCATGGAATTCAATGTGATTCTGGAGCATAAAGAGGAACGAAACAGAAAAAAACAGAGCTCCACTTTTTCCTTTCTGAAAGAAAAATGGCATGCAAGTAGATGCTCTTGAGGGGACTCCAGACCATCTCTGAGAGTCTATTCAGTGGACTGATATGGGCCACACAGGAAGGCAATGCAACAATACTAGAGACAGAGTTATACATGGAGACTAATGGGCTGCTACAGGGTAGCTGGAATTGAACAATTATTTTAACACCTGCTATATGACTGTAGAATGTCAAGGACTGCAGCCTACAATATGGATTGAGGCTCAATGTCAAGAAGACAAAGATTCTCACCACTGGAACAACTGGCAGCATCAGGATGGATGGTGAAGAGATTG